TATATATATATAATAAAAACATGCAGAGTCTTTTCATGACTATATTGTGCTGAAGATGTGGTCCACCATGCCAGTGTTTTACTGGGAAGCCAGTCAGTGTTCCTCCCCCTTTGTAAGCACAGGGAAATAAGCTGATCAACAGACAGGAATCTGGAATGGTTTTTCTTTGGCCCACTAGCAATGGTTCAGCAATTCGGTCAGAGATCCGTGTTAAATGAAAACGGCGCATATTGCAAGTGTAATTATAGGGTGGTCAACCTCACCAGCTCTTGCTTAAGATAGAGAGCGTGGCTAAATCAGAGTTGACTAGATGTGTGTACTAACAGACATGTTTACTGCAGACTCAGCCATGGGGGTGTCATGTTTATTCATGAGCGCTGTGCTGTTCTTGGTGGAAATGTGGAGGGCATTAGAGAGAGATACGGGTGGTTTTTGCATGGTGGTCCTCCTGCAGGCGCTGATGAGAGCCAGTTGCTGTCTGTCTGGTTCATATAATTGCATTGTGGACCCTCAAATCGTCGTATTGGTTTGTGATTTTCTGATGTGATAATGGATATGTTTTCAAGCTCGTGCAGGAGTGAAACCATTTAATGATGATTATTTTCTGTTCGCTGGAATATAAAGTGTGTTGCTCGGTTAGAGATGTGCAAAACTGCACTTTCTGAATCAAGTCTGTGGGATGTCAGTGACTAGGCATTCATCAGAAAGGAAAAAAAATATCCAAAATTGCTGAATGAACCCTTTTCGTTAAATGGTCATCAGCACCTTAAATCCTTGAAAGTTTTTGATATTTAGATTTTTTTTAAATGCATATATATTTATATGTTTTTATATATGCATTATATCATTCATATCATTAAAAAATTAATTACCGATTGTGCAAGGTGTTTCTAATGCAGCGTCTAGGGTGCAGGACAGTCAATTTGACATTGTTCTCTCTTCTCGCTGCCATTATCAGTCTCACACATTTTTTTTTCCCTTTTTCTGAAAGTTTTGATTACACCATTGATGAGTTTTTCTTTTATTATTTTAGCAGACAAAATCGTAAAAAAAACTATTTGTTTTACTCTCCCATTCACCTTTTTTTTTTTTTTTTTTACAAGGCTCAATTAATTTGATCAAAAACAGCAATATTGTAAAATAATATGCATTTGTTCATTATTCTTTCAGGTTGTCTGCGGGGCCTTAAAAAATCTTAGAATGCCTTAAATTTCAAATCTAAATGTTTAAGTCTTATGTTCTTGAAAAAAATTCTTGTTGGTCTTAAATAATTTTAATTGTGTCCTAATTTTCCCATGTCCATGTAAATTTATTTATATTTAGTTTAAAATAGGGCGGCACAGTGGCTCAGTGTTTAGCACTGTCGCTTCACAGCAAGAAGGTCGCTGTGCATTTTTGTGTGGAGTTTGCATGTTCTCCTCGTGGCGGCAAGGGTTTCCCCCACATTCCAAACACATGCACTATAGGCGAATTGGATAAATTGGCCGAAGTGTCTTGAGTGTGTGTGAATGAGTGTATGGATGTTTCCCAGTACTGGGTTGCAGCTGGAAGGGCATCTGCAGTGTAAAACATATGATGGAATAGTTGGCAATTCAATCCGCGGTGACGACCCCTGATAAATAATGAAATAAGCCGCAGGAAATTTAATGAAGGAATATTTTTTTATAGCTTGCCGTTTAAAAAAGAAAAAAAAAAAAGAAAATTTATGTTGGAAAAAAAAGCTTGTTTTGACACTTTATTTAATCTTTTTTTTGATAGGGCAAGTAAAAGAAACCCTGCTTTTCGTTTATTTATTTTATATATTTATTTTGCTTGTTTATTTGTTTTTAGGTCGTTGTTTGTTATTTTCTTCAAACAATAATTAATTTTATCTAAGGCATTGCAATAAGGTCTATTTACTGTAAATGATCTGTCCAGAAAGGCGAGGGTGTTGGCAGGCTGGCTAGAAAATAATGCTTACTTGTGCATTGATTTGAATCTGTAAAATGCAGATGTGAAAATAATAAATATATTGATTTAATTTTTTTTTTTTAAATATTGCTTTAATTCGACGCAATGGTGCAGTAGGTAGTGCTGTCACCTCACAGCAAGAAGATCGCTGGTTAGAACCTCGGCTCAGTTGGCGTTTCTGTGTGGAGTTTGCATGTTCTCCCTGCCTTCGCGTGGGTTTCCTCCGGGTGCTCCGGTTTCCCCCACAGTCCAAAGACATGCGGTACAGGTAAATTGGGTAGGCTAAATTGTCCGTAGGGTGTGAATGTGTGTGTGGATGTTTCCCAGTGATGGGTTGCAGCTGGAAGGGCATCCGCTGCGTTCCTTATTTATCAAGGGTCTCCTCAGCAGAATGAACTGCCAACTATTCCTGCATATGTTTTACGCAGTGTATGCCCATCCAGCCGCAACCCACTACTGGGAAACACCCATACACTCTCACATTCACTTAAGTAAGGCCAATTTAGTTTATTTAATTCACCTATAGGGCATGTCTTTGGACTGTGGGGGAAACCGGAGCACCCGTAAGAAACCCACACCAAGATGGAGAGACCATACAAACTACAAACTAAATTTGCCAACTGACCCAGCCGGGACTGGAACCAGCGACCTTCTTGCTGTGAGGCGACAGTGCTAACCACTAAGCCACTGTGCTGTACAGTGAAAGAACAACATATGAAAATAGAAATTTAACATAAATTTCCTCACTTTTAAATGCTGAATGAAAGTTTTACTGTCTTTTAAAATATTAATTTGATTGGTAGCATATGTAATCTGTAATTTTTTGTGTTTAAATGATGTCTGCATTTGAGAAGTTGAGCTGCAGTAACAAACAGCTGGAGGAGAAGATTAGAGTACTGGCTGATGAGAAAGAGAGCGTGGCTCACTGGGAGGCCCAAATCACAGAAATCATTCAGTGGTGAGTATCAAAGACACATTATACTACATAGTTGAGGTCAGAATTTTTTGCTCTCCTGGGAATTAATTTTACTCTTTCAAATATTTTCCACATGATGTTTAACAGATTAAACAGGAAATTTTCACAGTATTTCCTGTAATGTTTTTTGTTCTGGAGAAAGTCTTATTTGTTTTATTTCGGCTACAATAAATGCATTTTAAAAATTCTTAAAACCATTTTTAAGGTCAATATTTTTAGCCCATTTAAGCAATTTTCCACATTGTTTACAGAACAAACCATCATTATACAATGACTTGCCTAATTAATCTAGTTAAGCCTTTAAATGTCACTTTAAGCTGATAACTAGTGTTTTGAAAAATATCTAGTCAAATATTATTTACTGTCATCATGGCAAAGATAAAATAAATCACTTAATTAGAAATGAGTTATTACAACTATTATGTTTAGAATTTTGTTGAAAAAAATCTCTCCGTTAAACAGAAATGGGGGAAAAATGGGGGCTAATAATTCAGGAGGGCTAATAATTATGACTTCAACTGTACATCTGTCCTGTCACAGATGGATTTGGTTTAACTACGGTTATATTTAGAGAAAACATTGTGAAGTCTGAAATCAGAAGATTTCAAAGACTCTTCTGTCTGTTCCATTGTTAGTGTACACTGATAAAAATCCACTAATTAACAGGTTATGTATTTTCTAATTTTTTTTGGTTTATTTACAGTTATGAATTGCATTATGGAATGTTTATTGATCTCTACTTTGTTGACTTTTGATGATGAAAATTTAACTGTGCAGTTTAGCAAAGTGATTATAATACTAAAGTATCAGTATTAAAACAATATATTGTATAATAATAATAATAATAATAATAGTAATAATAAATGGAGAATGTAAAATGACTTAAACAATACTAGCAGTTTATTACTAGGTTTTGTATTGTAATTTACAACACCAAACAGGAAAATAAATCACTTCAAACTATTAAAGTCAATAAAAGTCACTTTTGCAAACTTTTCAACATCTAAAGTTGTTGGAGTAAAGGTCCCACAATACAATTAAAAAGCATACATAAACAATTCTACTTGTAATAATAAACATAAATCACAAAATACTGAAAATGTTTAAATTATATATATATATATACATATATATATCCCAACTAATGTATTGCATTCACAACCTGGCTATAATTTAATACTATTAAAAGCTTCAATATACAAAAGTCAAAGTGAGAGCAAAAAAAAAAAACTTAAATAAATAAAATCAGTTCTTATAACCATTTAATTGTCTTAGAGGGTTTTTAAAACAAAACAAACCATTGCTAAGTTTTTTCTTGTAGTTTTAACTATTTGTCATGTATTTTATTCTCAAAAGTAAATCCATTTCAAACACACACAGTCGATATGTACATACCTTGTCCACCTGAACTCTTAGAAGAATCTTAAAATAAAGAAATGAATGGTATCACCTCAATTTGATATACAAAGTAGTTTTTCCTTGTACATTTAACTATTTGTAAGGCGTTTTATCCTCATAAGTAGAGACATTTCAAACATACACAATTGATATGTACACCCCTTGTCGACCTGAGCTTAGAGAAGTTTTAGTGATTAACAGTTTTATTGATTCTAAAGCAAAATACACAATAAAATACAGCGTCTCTGTACAGAATCAAACTTTTTAACCTGTTAACAAACCCAAACAAACTAGTCCCCAACTTAGACATTGCAGTCACAACTTAATACAATTAAAACCTTCAATATGCAAAAGTCAAAGTGAAAAAAAAACTACAATGAGGTGAATAAATGAAATCAGTCCCTATAAATCCATCTAATGATTTAGAGGCGTTTTTAATACAAAAATAAATCATTGCCAAGTAGTTTTTCCTTGTAGATTTAACTATTTGTCAGGCGTTTTATTCTCCAAAGTAGAGGCATTTTAAACATACACAATCGATATGTACACAATTTGTCGACCTGACCTCTTGTAGGAGCTTTTATATTAAAAATTAATGCCATCACCTTAATGCATCAGTTCAATTAGCAGAATGCTAGCAGATCTTGAAACCTGAGAGATTTAAGTGCACAGGTGTATGAATGATCTCAAGAGTTAGGAGGGAAGGCATTATAAATCCTTTAAGCTTGACTTGTGTATTTTATTCAGCTTTTAAACAGATAAGTAGGCCTTCAATAGTTGTTCAGTCTGCTGCTTCAAACTAATGTCTTGGAGGAGCTTCTGGAACTTTAGATTAGTGTGCATTGGCCGAATTTCCTATAATGGCTGGTAATCCTGTAATGGACTGAATATATGTCTCTAAAAGTAGGGCAAATCACTGTTATTATGTAAATGCACTTTTTTGCACAAAACTCATTTGTGTATATACAGTGCCATCTAGTGGTGATGTCTAGTAAGTACAATTCTGAGCATCTGTGTTTCTCTTTTAGGGTCAGTGATGAGAAAGATGCTCGAGGATATCTGCAGGCTTTGGCCACTAAGATGACAGAGGAACTGGAAGGCCTGAAGAATGCCAGTTTGGGTGCACGTGCCACTGTACGTAATATATATATATATATATAATAGATGAGCGAAAAATGCAGTTTAAAGGGAAAGTTCACCCCAAAACGAAAAGTCATAATTAACTCATCATTTACTTGTTTAAAACCTGTTTGATTGAAGCTAGTCTTTGGTCTGGTGAACACAAGAGGAGATATTTTAAAGAATGTTGGTACCTGGCACCAACGTTTTTTTTTTTTACCTACTATGGAAGTCAATAGGTGTTAGCAACTTCTTCAAACTTGTCTTCTTTTTGTGTTCAATAGAATAAGGAAACTCATAAAGGTTTAAAACTGACATGAGATAAACTAAATGATGTAATTTTTGTTTATGTTTCTCTACTATCACTTTAATAATATCAAAAGCAATCTATTCAGACTTTCAATGGCGTTTATGTCAACATATCTCATTGTACAATGTGACACAGCACGTTTAAACTTTTCTTCTGGTTTTCCAGGACATGCCATGGAAGGTGAGACGTCTGGCCAAACTGGATATGTCTGCCCGTCTGGAACTGCAGTCTGCACTGGATGCTGAGATTAAAGCCAAACAAACCATCCAGGATGAGCTCAACAAAGTCAAGGCATCCCATATGGCTACTGAGTGGTAAAACACACAGCTCTTCTTTAAAGTACAAGAGTTGGTAGATCTGAAAATTAGATACCAATTATCTACTTAATGTTCCAGAATCAGTTGCGGAAAATCCCAAATGGTGGTCAGCAGATATGGGTTTGATTTGAAAGGCCTAAATTTATGCAGAAAATATAATCTGCTTATGCACAAAATATTCGCCTTATTCTCCGCGTATTAGCGGACGCAGCCATTTGAATTATTTTGAATTCCAGTCTCATTCACTTCCATTCATTTTTAGACTTTAAAAACAGCTCGTTTTGCTGCTAGATGTTGCAAACTGATATTTTCTTCTTATATTATTGTACTTTGTCTGTATAGGCATCCTAGTCATTTCTCCCATGGCGACACAGAATCAGAAGTTCTAAAACAATCGCAAAAACGAGCGCACTTCTACACTGAAGTATAAAGTCGATAGGAGCAATATATTTATTTTGTGCTATACAGCGGGGGGAAATAAGTATTGAACACATTATCGTTTTCTCAGAAAACATATTTTTAAAGGTGCTGTTGACTGAAATTTACACTGGATATTGGTAACAACCAAATACAACCATATTTGCAAAAAATAAAAAATAAAACTAATTAGTTTGAAAATGAAGTTATGAGCAATAAAATGAAATGACACAGGGAAAAAGTATTGAACACATGAAGAAAGGGAGGTGTAGAAAGGCAGTGAAAGCCCAGACAGCAGCTGAAATCTCTCAGTAGTTCTTCAGCAACCCTCTGCCCTTCCTCATTGTAAATAAATATTATCTGCTTCAGTCCAACATCTACATTAGCAGGATGATGAAGATGAAACCAGGGTGGACATTTCAGCAAGACAATGATCCAAAACACAGCCAAGGAAACTCTCAAATGCTTTCAGAGAAAGAAAATCAAGCTGTAGAATGGCCCAGCCAATCACCTGACTTAAATCCAATATAAAATATGAATTAAAGATCAGATTTGATAGACGAGACCCACAGAACCATCAAGATTTTTAAACTCTGTTGAACACTTTGTTTTACAGTCTGTGAAAAACTCACACCTGAGCAATGCATGTCACTTTATTTTCCATATGAGAGGCGTTTTTAAGCTGCCATAACCAAAAAAGCCTTTTATATAGAGTATTAAATACATTACACACTGTCTCTCCGCTCCACCTATAGCTGGTGTGTGATGAGCGCACTGCCGCTGTTGTCCTGTGGCTGCCTTCACATCATCATCCAAGTGGATGCTGCACACTGGTGGTGGTGTGGAGAGACAATAAATGCGCTATATAAATACACATTACTTTATAGTAGTTCAGTACTTCCATTAGTAAACTTTAAAACTTAAGATTGTTCAATAAAGACATTTTATAAATTTATTAAAACTGAATCTTTCATTAGTAATGTGTTGCTAAGAGCTCAATTTTGACAACCTTTAAGGTTATTTTTTTCAAGGTTTAGATTTTTTTTGAACCATCAGAATTTCAGATGATGTATAAATCTATTTACAATGCTAAATTTAATTTTGTATATATTTTAAAGCTTATGAATAAAATCATGAACTTAATGAACATAATCATTAAAGTATACATATAAATATATATATATATATATATATATATACTCATTCATTGTACTTTTTGTTACTGTTTTTATCGCTGACAGTTCAAAAGAAACCAGCCTCATAATATTGTATAGAATGATCTTTTCCCATTCATGCATGTTTGCATTAGTTTTGCATTCATTTTTGAGTACATCTTCGTTTCTAAATAAAAATACAAACGAAAAAAAAAAAAACATTGGATTTCTTTTAGAATCAGTTACACTCGTATTTCAAATTATTGAAAAGTTTCAATACCTTTGTTTCACCCATATTTTGTTACATTAATCAGGTTTTGTCATCATATTGTGTTTGAATTTCTTCTACACAGCAAACTGGAGGAGTCGGAAAAGCAAAACCAGGACCTGCAGGCAGAGATCCAGAGGCTGAAACAAGAAACGGACAATCTGCGCATGTCTAAAGGTAAAAACCCAAACATTTGAAATCAGTAATGATAACAGAATATTATGTAGGGCTCAGTGGTTAGCACTGTTTCTTCACAGCAAGAAGGTTGCTGGTTCGAGTCCTGGCTAAGCTAGTTGCCGTTTTTCCGTGTCGCGTTTGCATGTTCTGGGTGCTCCAGTTTCCCCCACAGTCCAAACACATGCTCTAAAGATGAATTGGATGATCTAAATTGGACGTAGTGTGTGAGTGCATGTGTGAATGAGTGTGCATGGGTGTTTTCCAGTAAAGGGTTGCGGCTGCAAGGGCATCTGCTGCATAAAACATATGCCAGAATAGTTGGCGGTTCATACCGCTGTGGTGACCCGTGATAAATAAAGGACTAAGCCGAAGGAAAATGAATGAATGTTATGTAGATGTTATGTATGGTCATATGTGACGTGCGTTTCATATAATGTTTTTTTTCCAGGTGTCAAGCACCAAGACTCCCAGAATTCCTTCCTGGCATTCCTCAATGCTCCAACCTCAGCTCTGGATCAGTTTGATGTAAGTATTTAAAAAATGACTTTAAGAACAATTGGCAGCAGAAGTGATCCTCGATTTTATATGAATTCCTTCTGTTTGAGTTTAATTTGTTGTTCAGACATTATTGATGGTTCTGCTTCCTCTATTTTCTTTAAATAGCTTTAAAGCGTGTTTTAAATAACACATCCTCCATTATAACTTCAGGGCTTTAGAGACTTGAGATTTTGAATCCTTTTCTCTGTGTTCATGTATTATTTGCTCTCTTTTATTTCTTTATCTGTGTTTTTTTTGTCTGTGATGAAGCGCTCCACTGCCAGTGGGCCGGCTGGTAAAGGCAGACGTGTAAGCTCATTTTGTTGTGTTCTGGTGCTGTGGTTCATCTTTACCTCAATTGTGTGACTTTCATGCATGTGTGGTCTATTACTGCATGGCATAAGTGACATATAAACACATCCCAAAGGGTCTTTCAAGTGCAATACTCTTATCAAGTTCGAGGGTCAATTTTGTCTGCAGAGAATTGCTTTTTGACGCTAATACATCTGTAACATTTTGTTCTGGTGACTGCAGTCTAACACATTTTGCTTTTATTTACTGTTTCTAAAACCATTGTGAAACAGACACGTGGCATTTGTGTTCATCTGTGCTTCTTTTTTGATTATTTTTGCTGCACTCTTGGGTCTCATTTCAGTCAGGTGTCACTTACATGGTGTTTGGGTCTTTGGAAATGTTTTATTCTTGGCGGTATACTGCTAATGTGCATGATGTGTTTCTAAAGGGCCTGTTGGTAGGGCTGGACGGTATGACCAAAATTTTTTCACGGTATGAGAAAGTTTATTCTACGGTAACAATATATATATATATATATATATATATATATATATATATATATATATATATATATATATATATATATATATATATATTATAGGCGGGCATAGATACATTTTTTAAAAATCTAGATGAATCTCACTGGCTCATTTGAATTCTGCTTAAGGCATTCACAATATTTGTGCTACCCAAATAATGACTAAATATAAGTTATTTGAGAACCGGTTTCTTAAGCGATTTCTTACTTTTTAGACCAGGGGCTCATCTCTGGTAGGGTTGGGCGATGTTGACCATTTTGGCATCGTATGATGTCTAATGTGAAACATCGCGATGGATGATGTCATCGTCGTCGTAGGCAGGGGGTGGGGGGTGGGGGTGGTTATTTAATATTAAATAATTTATGACTGTTACGTAGCGGATGCACCCCGCTACGCACATAAGATTAAGGATGACCACTATTAAAAGAGTTCACCTGGAGTCCCCGTTCCTGTTCCCCAAGCACACACACACAGTCCAAGTTGTCAAAAGGGGTAACAGATTAATTAAACAAAAAGATCAATATCAGAATCATGAAACAAAAAGGCCAAAACAACAAACAAAACAAGCTACGCTACCTAATATTAAACTTCTTACCTTTACCAAAAATAAAGTTCCATAAATAAAGCATACAATTCTATCCTCCATAACTAACCACAAAACAGGAGAAAACTGGACAAAAGAAAAGGGCCTTCCCTTTGATCATTCAGCATTAAGGTAAACATTAGCCACAGCTAACACATGATACCGTCCTAATGCCGTATTTAACAGAGTATCTCATCAGATGACTTTGAAACAGGGTTTTAGAAAGGCATTAAACAATCAGCCACCGCTAATGCAGGTTACCGTCCTATTACCGTATTTAACAGAGTATCTCACCAGATTACTTTGGAAAAAGGTTTCAGACAGTACGATCACTGCCACATACAGAACTCAGAGCGAACTGCTCAGACACACAATATTGAGGGGAAACAGGAAGAGAACTTGATGAGGAGCGTCAACGCCGTGCCTTTATAGCTGGCGCCGCCCCTCTCACAGCTGCACCTGATCTGCGCTCATGTGGAGAGAGAGAAAGAGACAGATAATGGAGGAAACAACACACAGGAACAATACACACTAGCATTGTCAAAAATAATGTTACTCAATATGTAACAATGACGAATTAATTAATTGTTGCCTACCGTTTTCACTACCTGACCCACATGGTCTTTGCTTTACCCATAACCAAACCATAAATAAATAAAGTTACACACAAATGACCACCTGTCAAACACTTTTTTTCAGTGGGACTCTGGCATGAATAGGCAGTGATCTGTGTCGTTCTAATGGCTTTTCCCATAGCTGGTGGAGGAGACAAGAGTTCGGTTGGAGTTCACTGTGGTGCATTCATTTTCATTCTTTTCGCTGCAAAATCCTCACCGTGTGCGCGGATTTAAGAGACATTTATGCAGAATGCATCTTTGCACCTAAAAACGCCAAACGCAGCACTCAGGAACAGATTAAAACAGTTGTTATGTGAACTTGCTGAAATAAAAAGCCTACAATGCTTGCCCTGCCTTTGTGCTCTTCTTCTTGGCCCTCTGCTCTAACTGAACACGAATGATTGGTTAATATCAGCTGTCAATCACTTAGTCAAAGCCTTCTGCCTTCAGATGACAGTAGCTGCAACCTTGAAAATGTGAAGCGCTGAAGATGAGAGAATGAAAATAACATTGACAGATTTACCTAAAGTTACTAATAATGGCATATCTTATTAGTAATCTTGTGCTGAATGTTAATCCTCCATTTACACTTTTCAAAGAGTTGATAAAAGACTTCCAGTGTTATGTTAAGTCTGCTATGAAAATGACTATTGACTGTAAAGTCTGTGGGACGGCGTTTGCAGGTAACAGTGTTTGCCACTGAATCTACACATTTTAAGTGCGAGAGGTGCTGTATAATCCTTAATTTAATCCTTACGATGCTGTCAGGCGTGCAAAAAGCAGCTATATGTAAAATTTAACACAGCTCATGAAAAGACCATTATTGCTATTAAGATGACATGCAAACGATAAGTTATATATCAATATAAATGATGGATCGCAATGCTGGCTCAGCATCGTAAAGCTTACTTTTCCCCTACTCAAAGAAACTTTCCAAATACATCTGTTTCTTACTCATTTTGCTAGTTTGTGGCGCTCAAGTGACCAAGATGTAACCGAGAGAATACGGTAATTTTTTGAAATGAAAGATTTTTTAAAATAAAAGATTGTAACTTCAGATAATAAATAAAACGAAAATAATCAATGATTTCTAATGCGTCTCAGTACTAATTGACCCAAAAACCCCCGCCCCGGGGGTTGGGGACCACTGAATTACGTGATCACTTTATGTTTAAAATATAAAGCAATAGTGTTTTGGCCATGCCCACTTATTTAAATTTCGCAGTATACATGGAATAAAAAATTGTTTTACGGTACACATTTCATTCCGCTGTAATGATATTTACCTTCATACCACCCAGCCCTACCTGCTGCTTGACATTTCACAGGCATGTCTTTTGTTTCTAGCAGATATGTTTTCCATTGGCTGCTAATGGTACAGCTAGAAACATTTTCTGTATTTAATCTTCTCATTAGATTGATTCCATTGATAACTTCAGCCTCTCCAACACACCGTCACGGGAGGAAGATGGAAGATCCCAGGCGACGTCCCACTCTCGCTCGCCCTCTACCACTAGCGACGTGGAGTCTCATGAGGTGACTTCACAATTCTGTTTCCTTCAATCAGCAGTTAAACTTTATCGCCATTTTGGATTTAATTTAAAAGGGGACCTATTTTGCAAAAATTGCTTTTATAAGGGGTTTGGATACAGTTGTGTGGCAACAGTCTGTGAATATAACCAGCCTCTAATGGTAAAAATGTATTTATTGTATTTTTTATAATCACCCTTTGGTTGACATTCTCCCTTTGTATCGGTCATCAGAGGTGGAAAGCCTCGGTCATTAGTGACCTCTCCCTCATTAGCATACAACGTTAATCTTGTTTTTGAATCTGCCACTATACTGACACAGGCATTTGAAGCTCCGCCCCTTTGAAAAAATACAAACAAGCAAACCACAATCTCATTTGAATTTAAAGGGACAGTCACCAAAATTTCACAATTAGCCTACAAAGCAAAAGCCTAACTGGGGCAATTTCGAAGAGTTATAAAACATTGTTTGTGGGATATTTTGAGCTGAAACTTCACATATACAATTTAGGGACCTTTTTCAATATCTAAAATTCTTAAATCAAGAAATGCAATTCATAGACGAGCAATGTTGTCACTAATAGTTTTGTCTGTTTTTCCAGCAGGTAGATCAGCCACAGCGAGGTGCACAAACTCCTGTACGATCAGGATACAGCAGCTCCGCTCACAGCATACCTAAAGTACTTTTTTTAACTCATTAATTTTCTTTCTATTCTTTTAATTGTTATTTTTGGTAAAAAATGGTTCTTTGAATGTTAATTGACGTCATGGAACCAACCATCTCAATATATAACATTAATTTGTACAGTTGAAGTCAGAATTATTCGCCCTCCTGTTAATTTTTCCCCCAAATATTTCCCAAATGAAGTTTAACAGAGCAAGTAATTTTTCACAATGTTTTAATAATAATAATAATACATTTTATTTATAACACGCTTTTCTAAAACCCTTAGAAGAAAGTAAAAACAACAAAGCACAGTAAACAATAAAAAATACAATTAAAACACAGTACGAATAAAATATATCACAAATTAAAAACAGACCTAAAAAGATGAGTTTTAAGTAGCTTTTTAAAAGCGTCCAATGATCGGCATTCCTAATGTTAGTATGAAGAGCATTCCATAGTTTGGGAGCACAGAAAGAGAACACCCTGCCTCCCATGGTGCTGAGTTTGCAGCGAGGCTGAAACAGCGTAAGACTCAAGGCAGAGCGTAGACAGCGAGAGGCAGAGGAAATGGATATCAGGTCACAAATGTAACCTGGAGCAGAACCATGAACCGCTTTATATGTTAAAATCAATGTCTTAAAATTAATACGAGACTTGACGGGCAGCCAGTGAAGCTGTTGGAGTATAGGAGTGATGCGCGACCGAGACGATGTATGTTTTCTGTAAATTTTTTTTTTTATTCTGGAAAAAGAGATCTTGTTTGCTATTATTTTGGCTAGAGTAAAAATTGTTTCCTCTTTTTTTTAACCATTTCAAGGTCAATATTATTAGCCCTGTTAAGAAATATAATTTTGGATAGTCAACAGAACAAACCATTATTATACAATGACTTGCTAATAACACTAACTTGCCTAATTAGCCTAGTTAAGCCTTTAAATGTCACTTTAAGCTGAATACTAGTAATAAAATCAATAAAATAAATCAGTTATTAGAGATGAGTTATTAAAACTATTATATGTTGAAAAAACTGCTCTCTGTTAAATAGAAATTGGGGAAAACACATAAAAGGGGGGCTAATAATTCTGCATGATTTCATGTATTTACTAGTATTCTGAATTGCTCTTTTTAGCCAAAAGCCCATCAGTTTGTGGTGAAAACCTTCAACACACCTACTAAATGTAACCAGTGTACGTCTCTGATGGTGGGGATCATCCGTCAGGGCTGCACGTGTGAAGGTGAGACAGGTCATTTACGCTGAAACTGATGGCGTTGTAAAAATGGTAACTAGTATTTAGATTGGCATTCACCTTTTTCTCCTCTTGCAGTCTGTAACTTCTCCTGTCATGTGACGTGTGCGGATAAAGCTCCCGCTGTGTGCCCGATCCCACCAGATCAAACCAAAGGACCGCTCGGCATCGACCCTCAGAAGGGCATCGGCACAGCATATGAGGGCCACGTAAAGGTTAGACACTTCAGTTTAAATTACCATGAACAATTTGTGATCAAAATGAACTATTAGCACAATTAGTCATTATAGCGTGTCATTAATGGTTTTGTAGCTATATTGTTTAAATAGTAGGAATTAAATGAAAGCTTTCTTAAAATTACTAGTTCAGGAATTCAAAAATAAAATAGCCTGTCACTAAATGTAATATTCCAACATTTCAATGTAATGTTTTTCAATTTAATTTAATTTGATTTGATTTAATTAAATTGATCTGCTTCAAAAGTACAAGACACAACAAACACTGTCATCAAATGCATGTAAACAGCCGGGATTCACATCGGAAGCGTGTGTGAAGCACGTAGGAATGGTTTTCTGAAATGCATTTAATTTAATTTACTTCAGAATCTCTGTTATTAGAAATGTTTACTTATGCCTAGTTCACACTAGAGGATTTTAAGCCTGATTTGAGCCCGATTTGGAAGTTAACGAGCTCGCCGACAGATCGGGCTGTGATCGGGAAGAAATCTGCGGGTGCTCGGCGCTCACCGCTCTTTATGTGTGAACTACTGAACAACGCATCAACGAGGCTCGCTGACGCGTCGCCGACACCTCGCAGACGGAAATCCAACATTCAGCATGCTCAATATTCCAGAGCAGTCGGCCGACTCAACCCCACATGTGGTCAGATGTAGTGACGAGCTGCAGCCACTGAGAGAGCATATCAGCATGAGCTGAATGCCTGTGTGTTCAGGAGCTCAGCAGAAACATCTGTGATTGGTCAGAATGGTTCATCGGTGCACTCGCTTCATTCTGCGTTAACAGACATGAGAGGAGGCTATATTAACAGTGGAACTAGAATTCTGTAACTATTAGAATTACCATACTGCTCATTCTGACCGTTCTCATATAGAACGCCATACTGTCACAACATATTTACATTCAAAGCTATTATTGAGATATTAAAATTAAGCTTTGAATGTTTGGCATCATATTTAATGACACCATTACCCCTAAAAATATAATATTTCTTTGGTAATACAGCCTATAAATATGTATTTAAGATACTAAAACACTTAAAGGTCTTGGCTTTCATTTTCACTTTCAAACAGGAGCTATTTAACAGCACAGAATATGCTGTTTTGAAAGATATCTGAAGTAAATTGATGTTTTTGCCATCAGAAAGTTTTGTTTATGTTAGCAGGAAGTTGCTAGGCAAGAAAATGCACACACATTTAAAGTCACAGCGAAAAGTATCAGACATGCATGCTGTCATATTGACCAATATGGTAATTTAAGGCAGAAATGCCCAGTTCTTTACTGTTTTGTAATAATAAAAATAACAATGTCAGAAAGAAATACACTGATAGTTAGAAAACGGCAGGGTGTTATAAATATGTTAGTTTTATTTCAAAGAGTTATAAAATTACAAAAATTAAAAACTCTCTGTGTATCTATCCACTCGAACCTTGCAGATGAGTGATTATTCCGCTCATAAATCAGCTGATCTGACGATGTTTTTAAATGCTTTCTCCAAAGCTTGAAACGCTGTCAGTGATGTCATCAGCACACAAGCTGCCAATAGTGTTCAGCTTTTTCTGACGACTCCTCCCTCAAATTTTCATTGGCTGTGGTTTGGTAGCTTGAATGAGCTGATGGGGAATGAGTTGTTGTCAGATCATGTAGTGTGTGACCCCCCTCTTGGGGATCGTTCACGGAATGTTGCGTCGTGTGAACACCACAGAGATTAAAAGACACAAAGTCAAGTCATGTAGTGTGAACAGCACAGCGATCTGCTGATGTTTAAAATCCTGTAGTGTGAACTAGGCTTTAGAAAAAAAAAATATTCTACCGAATGTAGTATTTCTAAAATTCTATAATATAATTTAATTTAATATCAGGGGCAGACTTAGGCATGGGCAATATGGGTGATTACCTAGGGCGGCATATTGCTGGGGGCGGCACGAGGAAACAACATTTGAAGTGCCCCAATATTTACTTTATGCAGGTGTATTCATTTAGAGTGGTAATCTCAGAATAAAGACGTTTGCAGCCTTTCACATTTGGCGTCTTTTGCACGCGCAAGTTTGTTAATCTTTATGTGCAGTCGAAACAATGCTGGTGAATGCAAACTGACGCATGTGCCCGGAAAAACATTCCTGCGTGCTTCACACACGCTCCCGGTGTGTGAACGTGCACTGATTAGATATAACACCAGATCATGTCATTCACCAGTTAGAAAACTCTATGAAGACACGCACTTTATCAAGCGTAGTTGTGGATAGGCCAACGGGTGCAGGATTACATCTGCCCAAAACTGTCACAGGCTGTCACTGTTCAAAGTTGAACGAATGTGTGAATATAAATCAAACTTCACCTCAGTAAAGCTGGTTAGGCAGAAAAGCACATTTACTTATGTGTTGTTATTAAACTAAATAAAAATTTGATCATAATAAAGCAGTGCTAAAAACAGAAATATCCTAAAAACAGAAATATTACACTTACTCTTGCGTTGCCAAGACAATAAGTGACTTTTAATTTTCAGTTGTGCTCGCTGATCTTCCTACATCGCTTATTTTCAGCTTCTTTTTCACTTGAACAACTAAACGTATCTCAGGTCTATTTAACCGACTATATTATCGATGCTGTAAAAGGTTCTCCATGAACTTGAAAATAGCCAATCATTTGCCGGACGGTTTCAGTGGCTGAACAACACTACTGTGCAAATAAACCCATTCATAAACAACAACACAATCTACATGGCTAAAATAGTTTTATAGCATACCTCTCTAAAAGTAATACTTCAGCCGTTGTGTTATCCTTCAGATCGATTTTTTGAACTGCATAATATCATTACCCTCCAGCATGCAAAAGTAATACGATATTGATTCAGGGTTTGGAAAAGTTTTGGTTCTGCATTTTTGGCCGAAGCTCTTTCAGAAACAATCTTTCTTTTCATGCATGCAAGGCCTCGCTGGTCTTTTAGAAAGAAGCTCAGGTTGATGCAGAGTTCGGGGATGATGTCTCTGTCACCTTCTGATCCGTACTTCGCGAGAATGCGCGAGTGATGTATCTTCTGCTTAAAGAGGCTGTGCCGAAATGCTAATTTAAATTTGTTGACAGACAGTTTGAGATGCCTGTCGTAATGGAGTTATTTATCGGTCCCATAATATGTAATTGGATAAACATGTTTTAGTTTTATACCTTATCCAGAATATAAAAATACAAATAACTACGTTTAGGTCCTTAACTTTAATCATTACTAATGGAATGTGAAGTGCACAACAAAAACTGTTTTTGAAAACAATCACCTATTGCACCTTTAATTCTGAGCCATGAGTCGGGTCTATAACAACAGATAATTCTATAAAACATGTTGTTTTGTATTTTATAGAGTTGTCTTTAATATTCATGCAAAAGATTTTGTAAGTGATCTTAGCATATCAGTCCAGTTGTGTCTTTATATTGTTTTCCAGATTGATTTTTGTTATTTATTTGGAATAATATTTGTATAATAATAATAATAGTAATAATAATAATTATTATTATTATTATTTTTATTTTATTTTATTTTATTTATTTATTATAAATATAAATCAACTGTTATATTTATTGAAAATAAACAAATATTTTTATATTTATTTATAATAAATATTTAAAATATATATTTTTGGAAAGTGGGGTGTGCTTTTGAGGGGGGAAGTGTGGGGGGTACTGCCCTAGTAGAGCTTCTAGCAACGCCCCTGTATAATATAATATAATAGAATATAATATAATAGAATAGAATAGAATAGAATAGAATAGAATAGAATAGAATAGAATAATGTATAATATAATATGATGTAATATAATATATTATAATAATAATGTATAATATAATATGATATAATATAATGTAATATAATATAATATTATCATTTATAACATAATATAATGTGATTTGTGTAAAGAAGTACATAAAAATCCCTTTTAATAATAATTTTAATTCTAACATTTAACAAGTTGTCTATCGCACAAGGAAATATTGCCAAATCAAAATAAAATAAAACTCCTCCAAACAAGCTAATAACAAATTGTAATTCTGAATGTCCAACTGTTATCTTTCAGGTGCCCAAACCTTTAGGCGTGAAAAAGGGATGGCAGAGGGCCATTGCTGTGGTCTGTGACTTCAAACTCTTCTTATATGATCTCCCGGAAGGCAAAGCTGCTCAGCCTGGTGTCGTGGTGAACCAGGTCATTGACATGAGGTCAGTGAGGCCTTCAAAACACTCATCTCAGCCTGTCTTTACTGTTAGCGACATCTAAGCCTTTCTATCCGTTTGGTTTCAGGGATGAGGAATTTTCTGTTAGCCCTGTTTTGGCGTCAGATGTCATTCATGCAAACAGGAAGGATATTCCCTGTATCTTCAGAGTGAGTTGAACATGAGCATACTACATTTTTTACTTATAGATTCATATCAAAGGCATATGTCACCTAAAATTGGAAATTATATCATTATGTTTTCACCCTTTACTTGTTCTAAACCTGTTTGACTTTCTGCTGTTGAACACAAAGGAAGACTTATAAAATCTGAAGAAATCAGAAGAAGTTTTCTGAAGAAATCTGAAAACCTGTAACCATTGACTTCCATAGTATTTATTATTTCTACTATGGAAGTTATGCTGGATGTCTTCATTTAATACCCTAATTAAATAAATGACCAGGATCCTCTCTTCACCATATTTCTCAGTAAGAGTTTTGTTTAGAGCTTTTGTACAGTAGTGTCTTCCAAGGAATAATTTGATTCATACCTTACCACAAGTTTTCTTGATGGGTTCTGCCGAAGAAGCAACTGTCCACTCCAGGAAGAAGATTATTAAAAATAAACTTTTATTCATACAATGAATCCAGTGAAAAAGATGAATAAAATAAATACAAGATCCTTTACCTTATTCCACGATGAGAATAAGGAGCTTAAGACAATATACAGAAGTCTATTTAACAGACCCCCTAGTTTTTCCACGATTTTTTTGTGCATTCTTTTTTTTCGAACAAAGTGGTAGTGATCCCCAGAAATTTGCGTACAATTTTTCGATAAAAATATATATATATATATATAAATAAGGGTACAAAATATTAAGGGATACAAAAAAGCCCGCAATGCTTGCCCCGCCTTCAAGCTCTTCTTTTTGGCCCAATGCGTTAGAACAGAAAGCAAATCCATTGGTTCATATCAGCTGTCAATCACTCAGTTTCGATGACAGGGAGCTCCAGCCGCGAAAATGTAAAGGTCTGGATACGAGAGAATGAAAACAACACTGGCAGATTTAGTTTTAGAAACCAGCTAGAGTTAAAACTAATGACACATCTGATTAGTGATCATGTGCTGAATGTCAATCCAGTATTTACACTATTCGAAGAGTGGATAAAAGACTTTCAGTGGTTAAAGTCCGCTATGACTAAAGCATTCACCGTAAAGTCGGTGGGATGGAGTTTTCAGGTAACAGTGTTTTCTCATCTACACATTTTAGGCATGAGATGTTCTAGCGTTATTTAATCCTTCATTTAATCATCACGATGCTGTCAGTCGTGTAAATGATAACGCGTGCACCATCGCATGCATTCACTGAGATGAAACTGATATTGCGGCTCACGAAATGACCATTACTGTTATGAAGATGACGTATGAAAATAATATGTTATAATATCATCTGTGCAATATCAGATAGAACCGTGAGAGCAGCACAGTGATTATTGTTAACTCATTCACGTTAATCAGTGTGTGCACGGCTGGTGAGCGCATGCAGATTTTTGTTTATTTGTTAGTTGTGATTAGAGTGTTAATATATAATAGTATCTGTTAATATAAAACATGTAGTAATGGTGCTCATCATTTTTGATGAGTGCGACAAAATTTTGTCTGGTGCGCCTACATTTTTGAAGTTAGGAGCACCGGTGCTACCAAAAAAAAAAGGTTAATTTCGAGCCCTGTTAGACCTTAATCAGTAGTGGAAATTTCGGGTTTCAAGAAAATGTTAAATGAGAGTAGATAGAAATAGAGCCCCGTTACATTATTCTTTCATAAGCCCATATCAGTCAGATAATTCTTGCTTTCAGATCCACTAAAATGGCAATTGACAGTTAAATCAGGCAGGTCTGTGCTGTCTGAGGAAAAGGTGGACACTCATCTTTCTGAAAATAAAAAAATACTTAAAAATAGATTGAAGTTCCATTTAAAAACGAAATTGTTCTTTTATTTTCTATTTGTTTAACTACAATATTGTATTTATTTTTTATAGAAGCTTTTTGAGTATAAACAAGGTTTTTTTTTTTTTTTTTTGCTGCTAAGCAGAAACCCCAGAAGTTAGCTCTATCACTGTTTAAAGAAAAAAAAAACAGGATAATACTTTTATAATGCTAGTTTTAATACAATAAAAAATAAAATCAGAGTAATCCTGTGGCTTTTTTCTTTTTTTGCTGTATCGAAAACGTACTGAACTGTGACACCACTATGTCGTATCGAACCGAACTGTGATTTTTGTGAACCGTTACACCCCTAATATATATATATATATAATAACATTAATTGTAAGAAACACTATTCTGATATATATATATAAATATATATATATATAAATATATCATTATCAGAATAGTGTTTCTTATAATTAATGTCATTCAACCATCCAGGCACCACAAAGTCAATGGTTTCATGTTTCCAGCTTTCTTCAATATATCTTTTTTAAGTGTTAAACAGACACTAGAAAGAAATAGTTTGGTACCACTCGACGGAGCAAATTTTCAGCTTTTGGTGAACTATCCCTTTTTCCCATTAGCTTTTGTGTTGTAAGTTAAGAATAATCGAGTCAAACTTGTGATGGACTTTGAAACTGCTCTGCTTTTGTTCTCCTGCAGGTGACAGCATCACAGCTCTGCGCCTCCAGCAATAAAAAATGCTCCATTTTGATCCTGGCCGACAGCGATCAGGAAAGAACAAAGTGGGTCGGCCTTTTGAAGGAGCTGCACCGGCTCTTGAAGAAAAGCAAACTGAAAGAACGCTTTGTTTACGTCCCTAAAGAAGCATATGACTGCGCACTGCCTCTCATCAAAACCACACAGTCTGCTGCTATTATAGGTAGAGTCCAACACTTCTCCTAATGTCCTAATCATAAAGTTTTTATGTAAATATCACCAAAATCTGCCTATATAAAAGATCTCATATAAGATCAGAGAACCTCGCCATATAAATAAGTGTCTTAATGGCATTTTGTTGGATCTTTGTTTTAGTTTTTGTTAGTGGTCTGGCTATACATACAGTTGAAGTCAGAATTATTAGCCCCCCTAAATTATTAGAACCGCTTGTTTATTTTTTCCCCAACTTCTGTTTAACGGAGAGCAGATTTCTTCAACGCATTTCTAAACATAATAGTTTTAGTAACTCATTTCTAATAACTGATTGATTTTATCTTTACCATGATGACTGTAAATAATATTTGACTAGATATTTTTCAAGACACTTCTATACAGCTTAAAGTGACATTTAAAGGCTTAACTAGATTAATTAAGTTAACTAGGCAGGTTAGGGTAATTAGGCAAGTTATTGTATAACAGTGGTTTGTTCTGTAGATTATTGAGAAAAAATATAGCTTAAAGGGGCTAATAATTTTGTCCCTAAAATGGTTCATAAAAAATTCAAAACTGCTTTTATTCTAGCCGAAATAAAACAAATAAGACTTTCTCAAGAAGAAAAAATATTATCAGACATACTGTGAAAATTTCCGTGCTCTGTTAAACATCATTTGGAAAATATTTAAAAACTAAGAAAAAAAATTGAAGGGGGCTAATAATTCTGACTTCAACTGTATATGTTTTCATAATATTGTGATTGTATATATATATATATTCATTCATTCATTAATTTTCTTGTCGGCTTAGTCGCTTTATTAATCCGGGGTCGCTACAGCGAAATGAACAGCAAACTTATCCAGCACATTTTATACGCAGCAGATGCCCTTGTATATATATTAGGGATGCAACAATACAGTCAGTTCGGTTTTCAGTTCGGTTCTGATGGCTTGATACACAAGTGTTTTCTTATATGCTTAGGCAATAGGAACAGTAAGAGGCTAAGGAGAAAACAATTAAAATTATTTACTGCAATACTCATTTTACTTAAAAGCCAAGAAATGTACACTAGTTCCTAGTTTAATGTATAAAACAATAACACTGAAATCTCACAGCTGCTGGTAGCCCATGTACAAACTGGGGAACACAAACATTCCTACATTTTGAAAATTTATCACGTGAATTTTGTAAACATAAATTGACCGTTTCAGATAAACATATCTGAACTTCAGTACTTCAGCAGCCTTTGTTATTTTATGCGTCTTTCTGAACCAGTTAGGTATGTTTGCTGAAAGGATTCAGCAAGGAATTGTTGTTTTTTGGAGGACTGTATTACTTTCCCTGCTATCCTGCCTTCAGACAGTGATACTGCTAGGTGATAGCGCTGCAGATGTCTAGTCATGTTGGAAGTGTTTCCGTTTGAGTAGGCTATACATGTAACCAAAATGTCCCCACATCTTGGATTTGAAAGACACCGGCGTTTTCTCATACTGTTGCCTGACTTCGCCGCTCGCCATGTTAAAGTGTAGAATGATGGTTCAGCGCCCCCTAACTTTAGAGCATAGGGATTGAATATATACTCGTGGCAAGGAGTTTCCTCATCTTACCTCGTAGACTTACAGGCACACACAAACAGTCAATTCGGAGAGAAATAAAATGCACATAAATTATCTAAACGTACAACCGGAAACAACGCAATTCACAAGCACGTAATAAACCGTGGATATCGTACCGAATGCTTCAATATTATATTGAGAATTGTGGCATTCCTTATATATATATATATATAAACACACATAAACATTCACTCTGGTTTCCCAGTAGTGGGTTATGGCATCCGCTGCGTAAAACATACGCTGGAATAGTTGGCGGTGCATTCCACTGTGGCGATCCCTAATAAATAAGGGGCTAAGCCAAGAGAAAATGAATGAATGAATATTATATTCATGTACTTCAAAGAAGCACAAAAAAAATCCTCTTTAATAAAATAACAATAGAAGAACTTGCACTAGTTTCCACTAATTTAGCTCAATCCAGCTCAGCTTTATCAAACTCTGCTTTCTGCTTATATTAACTTCACTCATGTTTATCCGCAGATCATGAGAGGATTGCTCTGGGAAACGAGGAGGGGTTATACGTTATTCATGTTACCAAAGATGGTAAGTTTTATTAAAAGCTTAATCTGTGTTTACTGTATTTATCTATTGCATTTATAATGTCTCAATACATTATTTTTTGCTAATACCAGAGTTCTTATGATTGCTGGAAATCTGTGAACATACTTGTATGTTAATCTAGTGTTCTCAAGGTTCGGAAAGTGCTTGAAAATGTAGTTGTGTTGCTTTCATACTAATTTCTGACTAAGTAGGTAATCATAATGAACAATTTAAATTAAATATAATTGCTTTGCATAAAATTAGCAACTCGTATTAGTATGATCTGACTGTTTTAACAAATGTAAAATCTTAGTATATTGCATTTAATAGAGTAAATGACAGTAATTCAATGTTGGGGCAAACATGCCATTAAAATGATCCCTTAAGACACTACACTATACTATGCTATCTGTAGCATTACAGTGTGTGCAGGGGTGGATTTAGGCCCAATACCAATTCTATTTTTTCCTTCCCCTTGGCCCTTGAAACCGAGTGTGAAGGGGAAGGGCTTCAAAATGTACCCCTAAGAAATGGGACAGCACTACAACACCTGAACACTTCATCATGTCATCGCGATCTCCTGCTTCATATGAGATCAGACCATCACAACTGTTTTGGTGATTCCAGTTGTGTTATTTATCTTCAAGAAAACACTGAAGACAATTATTATGTTATCATTATGATCTAATGTGGCAATAAGATCATAACAGTACTGTGCATTTACACAGTGGCCATATTCATCTATGTAAGCACACAAAAACAACATTAACATTATAGCAGACACTGTAAAAAGCTCATTAAAGAGAATTTAACTAAAGAGAATTGGGACACCCCTACTCCTTTAAGTGAACACGAAAAACGAGGGGTAGGGGTAAGGGGATTTTGTAGAATTGGGATTGGGCCACTCTCTCTTCCACTTCATTTCCTGTCAAATCCTAAATAAATAATAAATATAACCTTAAAAATACCCCAAACTCCTAAATCTGTTCATTTAGAGAAGTTTAATTGTAAATAAAATGGTTATATTGGGAATATCAGATATATTGAAACAGGAATATTGGGGTAAAGGGTAATTATTAATGATAGAATACATGGCACACATTAAAATAAAGTTGGAAATAAAACAGTTGAACCTATTCAAATGAATGACGTGATATACAGAGATTAAATCAAGTTATCAAATCTCCTTCACTTTTTATTCACTGTATAATTTAAATCTTGATTGAAGTTGCTGTTGTTATTTACATGTACCACTTTACTATAGGCACCAACTCTTGCTAATAAGAGAATTATTATGCGTATTACCTTACTGTTATTTACTATAATACTATTATTACTAAGATATTGCCTGTTTATTGGGACTTATAAAGTACATATTCTGATTTGGGGGCCCTAAGCAATTCCAGCCACGGGACCCCGCAGTCCTATAGTAATGTGCACCCTTCGTATTTGTATTTATTTATTTATTTACTTTTTCTTATATCACTCAGTCTCGCTTTCTACATTTTTATCTTAACACAATCGCTCTTAAAAGATTTGTTTACTTAAAATAAATTTACAACAAAAAATGATCAATACACTATTTGGTTTTTAAAACTAAATTTTCATCTGATTTGACTGCTGGACTGATCTATGACATTTGCATGGATATAATAATTAGGGTAAAATTAAATTTGTTAGACCCTCATCATACAAAATATGATAGAAAATGACACTGTATACAATTTGTAGAAACTTCTAGGTATTTATTGTGGGCCCCAGATTTCCTAGGGGCCCTAATCGGCCGCTTACCTTGCTTTTTGGTAAAAACCGGCCCTGATTTAGTATATATGTAAATATATAATTTGCCACTCTTGTAAAATGCCGGAATAGTTTGAAAATGCATCTGGAGGGTGTTTGAAAGTGCTTAATTTGTAAAAATGTGCAATAACCCTTTAATACAAAGCCTCTCATAGTTTACATTTTCTTCTTTGAAGAATGGATCATAGTAGGGGACAACAAAGGGGTCCATCAAATCGAACTGATACCGTCAAAACAGTTGATGAAATGGCCACGTGTGCTTGTTCCCAATGACAACCCTGTTATCAGTTATTAGAAAATAGTTAGTAAACTATTATGTTTAGAAATGTGTCTGACTGTTTAACCTTTAATATTATTAAATTCTACATCTAATAGAGTAAATGACAGTAATTCAGTGTTATATGCTATACTATGTTATACTATACTGTTCTATACTATACTGTGCTATGTTATACTATACTATACAGTACAATGCTATACTGTACTATACTATGCTACGTTATGCTATACTATACTATGCTATGTTATACTATACCGTTATAATACGCTATACTATACTATGCTATACTATACTATGTTATACTATACTATACTATCCTATTCTGTATTATGCTATACTATATTATACTATACCATACTACGCTATACCATAATATGCTATGCTATGTTATACTATACTATACTGTACCAGAGGTTCTCAATCTTGGTCCTGGAGGTCCGGTGTCATGCAGATTCAGCCAGACATACCTGGGCTAGCTAATCAAGCTCTTACCAGGCTTTCTAGAAACATCCTTGCATGTGTGTTGGGGCAAGTTGGAGCTCAAATCTGCAGGACACCAGACCTTCAGGACCGAGTTTGAGAACCCCTGTACTATACTATATTATACTATACTATACTATACTGCCACAGAATACTATAACATCTGATATTATGTGAATATGGATGTAAATATGCCACATTTGTAAAATTGGAAAATGCATCTGGAAAGTGTTTGAGAAGTGCTTAAATTTAAAAAAGTATAATAACCCAGTAATACAAAGCCTCTCATTGTTTATATTTTCCTTTTTGCAGAAATTATCAAAGTAGGGGACAACAAAAAGGTTCATCAAATCGAACTGATCCCATCAGAGCAGTTGATTGCTGTGATATCCGGCCGAAATGGCCACGTGCGCTTATACCCAATGACGGCACTGGATGATCGCGATGTCGAATCCTACAAGATAGCCGAAACCAAAGGCTGCCAAACTCTCCTTTCTGGCACAATTAGACACGGATCTCTCACCTGTCTCTTTGTGGCCATGAAGAAACCCGACAAGGTGATCGTCTACGAGCTCAACAAAAGCAAAGCGCGTCATCGGAAGCTGCGGGAAATCCTGGTCCCGGGAAGCGTGCAGTGGATGGGGCTCCAGGGCGAGAAGCTTTGCGTTGGTTTTCAGTCTGGGTTTTTGCGCTACAGTCTTCAGGGCGATGGAGGCACCAGCAGCCTCCTCCATCCTGATGATCACACGCTGGGCTTCATTGAGCAGCTCGGGCTTGACTCTCTGTGTGCTGTGGAGATCTCCAGTAAAGAGCTGCTCTTGTGTTTTAGCAGTATAGGCATATATGTGGACTATCAAGGCAGACGGTCACGACAGCAGGAGCTGATGTGGCCGGCGACACCAACTGCATGTCGTAAGTGATGTTTTTGCTGTTTTGTGTGTGTGTGTACAGTTAAAAACAAGATTATTAGCCCTTCTATATCGATGTGGAATTTTTCAAGCTTTTTTATTATGTATATATTTTTAATAATACATTTTTATATAACTTGCCTATTAGGGGTGTAACAGGTCACAAATCTAACCCTTCAGATGACATTAGGGTTTTTTAGTCACAAATCGGACCATTTTTCAGATCAGCCAAAAAGGGGAGTAGACAAATGTAATTTACTTTTTATTTATTATTTTGATTTAACAAACAGAATTTAGAAACTGTAATTCAATAAAAAATAAAATGATAAATTAATCAGCTGAATAAAAATAAATTGTAAAATATTCTGTACTGTTGCCGACAAATTAAAACATTATAATTTGTACAACCTATATTTATATTTAGTCTCATTTTCATAAATGATTCAGTTATTTACTCATTGAACTTCATGTTTCATTGCTAGATGTGTCATTTTTAAAGAATTATTCAGTGGCATAATTTTGATGGCTGGTTGTCACCACCTATTGGTTAAATTATGTAATTGCTGCCTACAACTTTGTGGTTTGAGAGTCAAGTTAAATGCATTTGGTGATGATTTTAATCTTTACCATAAACATCAGTGGTTGTATCTTAACTATAAACTTTTATCCCAGTACTTCTGTGCTATTTTACAGTTTTGTAACTTTTTCAAATTAATAAATAAGTTTTTGCAGGGTTTTTTTAAACAGCTCTAAATGCAGAAATTCAAAGGATCAATAAACATATGCAAATCACCATCATTTATAATTTATGTTGCGTGGATGTTGAGATCCCGATCTTTTAATGATTAATCGTGCAGCTCACATTAAATGTATTTATGCAGGCTAAACAAGCAGGGACAGAAAATACTTTTAATAACCCAAGAAACCCACAAAACCCTGAATAACCTACCACAACTACTTCCGGTATTGTATTTTACAGGAAAGCCTAAAAACTTTCATATATGTGATTTGAATGACATTAGGAAGATCTCTCTGCGATAGTTACAAATTTAGGATTAATCTGCATAAAAGTATATAAATTAGCCTAATCCGTGGGTCACGTGTGTTCTGAACCATGGGTTGTGATCCGTGCAAATCACGGATCAACCGTGATCCATTACACCCCTAATATATATATATATATATATATATATATATATATATATTTACATATACATTTTATATACATCTTATATATACATGAAACCGTTTCAAAGGCAATATTTTTAGCCCCCTTAAGCAATTTTTTTTACTTAAGCTGTGTTTTGTCTAGGTTTTTTTTTTTTCCAGCTGTGGCAACAGGCCTTTTTTTACACAGATCTACCAACTTCCTGTGGCGGTTTTTTTTAATGACAAATGTCGTAAGCGGAGTATTACAAGTCGAGATCGCATTTATGTAATAGCCTACAGCAGAGGTTTTCAAAGTGTGAGGCGCGCCTCCCCTGGGGGGCACCAGAGCATGTCAGGGGAGGCGCGGGAAAAAATATATTATAATAAAAATATAATTATGAAGTTTAATTATTATATGTATTTTTATTATATTTAAACGTTTTAATTAAACAAAGCAAAAAAAAAAAATAATACGTCAAATATAAGAAAACCTTTTTTACCCAGAAGGCCATAGCTGTGAATTCGCTTCTGTTTGGCAAGCCCGCCAATACAGGTATATGCCTGCTAATACAATGGGTCGGTTTCTGAGACCCCCCCCCCCCTCTTCCCCCCGATTCAAAGCTGTAATGAAGTTCAAGGCCCTTTGGCCGCAGGGAAGGAGGCGGTGAACCGACGCAGTTTTAAAATGATTTATTAATAACAGTGACGACAGCTCCTCATGGAGGCTGCCGTCTAAACCAAAACAAACGCACGGCAGCTCCTCACGGAGACTGCCGTCAAACTGAAAGCAAAAGTAAAACATGTCTGGGCCTGGTCCTCTCTCGGCTTCCTCTGCCCACGTTCCTCCTTTTATGATCCAGAACTCCTTCCGTGGGATCCGAGGCAGGTGCGCACCGCAGGTGTATCCACTTACGCGGTGGCCTCACTCCGTTCCCACGGCTCTCGGCCACGCCCCCTCGCCACAAAAGCCTTCAAGTTCAGGGCTTAAACCCAAAAGACGACGATATGATGATCAGTATTTGAGTTTAGGATTTATGTGGACAGGACCAGCTGATGAACCACTACCTTTATGTGTGGTTTGTCAAGATATTTTGGCTAATGACAGCATGAGACCCACTAAACTTCGACTGTTTTGACTGGGATGGACAGTTCTTGGATCTGTTCTATTCATATTGAACCATCATCCTAGTTTCAAAAACGTTATATTAAAATACTTGTTATTATTTTTTTTTAAATAATTGCACTTTCATGCAAATGATGATAAAATTGAGTTAACAGTCTGACATCTGTCTGTGTCTTTATATATACTGTATATATATATATTACCCTGGCCTACAGCATGCGGATCTCTTTGCTTGCGCGCCGATTTCCTCTCAAATATACACTGCTCAAGCTCAGATCTTCTTGTGCGCGCTCAAATAAACGCTGCTGAAGTGTGATTTAATGCTTTTATGTAACAAGTATGTCTCCAACATTTATTAGATTTGCTAGGAATATTTATGAATGTCTTCAATAGACCTACAGAGCGGCATTAATGCGTCCTGATGTAAAGTGAAACGGCTATACGTCGTGTTTGCTGGCATCACACACCTGTCTGCCAGTCATCAGCATGTGAACTTAAAGGGTTAAACAAATAACGCACAGCACTACTACGGTTACAGAAAAGTTTGCGTTGTTATAATTCACTTACCTTTTAATACGTTTTGGTGCGATTATCACCCGCTATTAAAAAAAAAAAAAAACACGACTGAATGTTTTGAATGAAAAGCTGTAATGTAGCCGTAGCGGGATCAATTCTGGTGTGGCACATGGAAGAATGAATGTAGCGGAAACCATGTATATTGTCAGTTTAGTTTGTAAAGGTCAGGTTTCTGTTCCTTACACATATTCCCACACAAGTCCTTTAAAAATTGTGCTTATGTCTTGCAGGTTATAATGCACCTTATCTGTCAGTGTACAGTGAGAATGCGGTAGATGTATTTGATGTCAACACTATGGAGTGGATTCAAACAATTCCTTTGAAAAAGGTACATTTTTATTTTTCCTTATGAGCAAAGAAAAAAACACACAAATGCAGACACGTTCCAAAGAGAGTTTCTCATCTAGACATGAAATTGAGAATAGTAGGAGAAGAAGTGCGGAGTGTTAATGAGCTGTGTGTCTCCTTCATTGCAGGTCCATCCACTGAACTCTGATGGCTCTCTAAACCTGCTGGGGCTGGAGACTGTACGGCTCATCTACTTCAAGAACAAGACAGCAGGTCAGATGCTCCCTCCTGCTGCTCCAACACATATTCAGTATTCCTAGCCCTGTACTTATGAATATTCAGCAGCAAATATATGATAAAAGAAGCAAAGTTGTTTCAGAGGTGGTGAAAGCAAATGCATTTTGATTATTAGCACAAAAGTTAGTCATGTTTTCGTTTAAAGGGGCCCTGTTATGCCCATTTTTGCTTGATAAGAAATAAGAAAATAAGTATTTGGTGTTCTTAATGTGTTAATGTGAAGTTTCAGCTAAAAATAATCCACAAATAATGTTTTATAATTCTTTGAAACTAACCTTTTAGGTTTTAATTGTGCCATTTTAGTGATTCAAATGAGTTGGTCGAGCTACAAATGACTGTGTCAGCATAGTGGCAGATTCAAAAAGAAACCTATTATGCTACTGAGAGGAAGATCGTCACTAATGGGCAGGGCTCAAGCCCTCTGATAACATGTACAAAGTTGCCACACAATGTGTTTAAACCCCTTATAAAAGTTATTTTTGCATAATAGGTCCCCTTTAATGTTGGTGATTAAACTCAAAGGCTAAAAAACATGGGTGTAGTATCAGTGACGTCACTCATAGGTTTCTGAAAAGCACTAATTAAGCTACAAGTGAGCATGGCCAACCATCACGCCAACTGGGGGTAACCAAAAAAAGGGCAAAGAGGCGGAACATGAGCCGAGCTACAGATACCTGCTAGCATTTTGCTTAAACAGGCATTTCTTTGGGAAAAACGTTTAATACTTAACTACCTGTGACTCGTTTGTGTTCTGACCACATGTGCTTGGTTGTACACTATATCATTAAAGTGTTTAGTCTTGTAAAAACCCTGCTGTAATAGATCGAGCCACTAAGCATTGTTTTTATGAAGTTTTTGTATAGGAGTAAAATGCTAATTACTTCCAAATACTACAAATATAGTCTGTGTTAGTAAATGCAAGGCTATTGATGAAATCCAGGCATAACACTGAATGCCAGTGTTTCAGACGACAGTTGTAAAGCCTTCAGCTGATCAGTCTGTCAGATTCTGGAGTGCTTTACAGGTCTAAATAAAAATAAAAATGATAAATTATCTTAAATATAACAAATACATTTATACATATGGTATGTAAGAATTTCACTTACTTGGGAAATGGTGGCAACTTAAACGGTTTGTGATCACAATTAAGTGCACAACATGCCATATCATCTGATCATTGTAAAAAGTAATAATTCCAACAGACAGTAAACTGTGTAAAGCCACATAAAACAAAACAAAAAAAATGTGCTCTTATTTGGAGCCAGACCTAGTGGAATCTCGATGAATTGCAGTTTCAGTTACTTCTGTATTAGCTTCACGAGGGAGAGCAGGATGTTGCCGCTTGATTTAACGGCAAAACAATTTAATCGAGTATAAATTATTCATTGTTTCTTAATGATATCTGAAAATTAAAAGTACCTATCTCACATGGCTTTAAACTTTTCTGAGTTTCTTTTTTCTGTTGAACACAGAAGAAAATATTGTGAATAATCCTGGTCGGTGGAACCAAAGAGCTTAAGCCTGGTTTATACTTCTGCGTCAAGTGACTGGCGCAACTCACGGCGCAGGCAACGCTCGCAGCTGTGCATTTATACTTCTGCGCGCTGTCTCTGTTGGTCTACATTAACACTTCCGAAACGCTAGTGGGAAGTGAGGTGTAAATGTTCCTCTGTGTCGAGTTTCTTCGCTTCTGTTTTGCTTTTCTGAACACTTCCTGGATGTACAAGTGACTCAAACTCGCTCATTTTGAGGCAGGAACCGGCGGACGTGCAACAACTTTAACCATGAGGTAAACACAGAACAAAATCCGTCCGGAGCTCCTCCACGGGACTCCACACTTGTAAACAATCGCTCACGCCGTTCGCGCGGCTCTCGGTCCCGCCCAGACTCGTCGGCGCTATCAAGCCGATCAATCACAGAGCTTGCGCTACGCGTTGTGGCGACGTGTAGTTACAATTTTTGAGAGGTGCACGTCAGTGACGGCCACGGCGATGGGCTATGCGTCAGCGCTGTAGCATACGCCGGTGTTTGACGCAGAAGTATAAATCAGCCTTTAGAATGAACAAGAAGTGACACTCTAGTGCGATTTGGGAAACAGCCACTAGATGGCGCAGCGGGCATTTTGGAATGAAAATTCCAATAGAACAGGGGTTCCCAAACTTTTCAGCCCGCGACCCCCAAAAAAACAATGCCAGTGACTCGCGACCCCCAATATCCTCTGAGGTGGTTATAAATACAGAAACCTTGCATGCAATGACGCAGACACACCAATTAAATTTGTGTCAGTGCTTTAAATGTGCCAGAAAGTATAACCTGATGTTATAAAATCAAAATGCATCCGACGCTATTGCTGCCTTAATATAATGTAATTACCCCAGGGGTCGCAATCCAATAGAACTAGTAACTATAAGCTACTATAGTAACTATATAGTATATAGTAACTATAAATGACTATTTTTATTTTCAGTATAGTTATGGATAAAATATGTTAATTCTTATGGTTTAATAAAAATAAATAGATTTTTGGAAATCACCAGGCGACCCCCCTTCATTGCCCCGCGACCCCTCGGTGGGTCCCGACCCCCACTTTGAGATCCACTGCAATAGAACAACAGTATCTTGTATCTCAGCTTAAATGCACTTTTTAAATAAATAAATAAAAAAACAAAGCAGCTGCTTGCCATCACGATAGCAATAAGATCCAGACAGCCGACCTCTTTTACTTCCAAATGGCGGAATCCGGGGCTGTTGCTTGACGCTGCTGTTGCAACAGCTGTTGAATGTCTATTGAGTGTCGCCTCTTGGTCATTCTAAGCTCTTTGGTGGAACTTATTGACTTCCATAGCATTTTTTAAAATTACAACAACTGTTGAAGTCAATAGCTGTGTCTCATTTCAAAGGCTGCATCCTCCAGATGATGCATTCGAAGTGTGCTGCGTCAAATCTGTCTCATTTCAAAAAAATTTGAAGGCTCCTTCAAACGCAGCCTCTAAATGCTTCCTTAGTTTCCCAGGTAATGAAGGACACAACCGGTGGGTTCTTCGTGGCCTCGAACGTACCGAGATTTATTGCGCGATGAAAACGGCAGGACACTTTTAAAAGAAAACATTTTAAGGATTAAATGTATGAATTAGGTTTATTTTACATGGATTTGTAAACACATGTTAAAAAACTAAAAGGGTTTGACATGTCCCACGAAAGAGTGATTTTATAGACAGTTTACATGTTTATGTGTACATGCATGGATCAAAGGAAATATATTTCCAGCTTTAATAAACCTTGTTTTGCCTTTAGATCGCTTAAAATAAGTTTTAAAATCACTTTGAAAAAAGTCAATACAAATTTTTTAGCGCTTATTAACAGCAGCTGTTACGAGTGCTAGGTGATGAGATCTGTCCTTTGTAGGCTAGATCGTCTCATTTCAAAACACTCGGTTGGGTCTCTGTGAATTTCGTAGTACTCACCTTTGAAGTCTGCATCCTTCGGAGTATGCAGCCTCTGAAATGAGATGCAGCTAATGGATTCCAGCAACCAGCATTCTTCAAAATATCTTCTTTTGTGTTCAACAGAAAAAAGAACATCAAATTGATTTTAAACAAGTGAAGGCTGAATATATTTTGGTTCAAGTACCCTTTTAAATACATTTATTAAAAACAGAAAGGGTCAAATATTGTTATAAGAATCTATTGAATCGTTTTGTAAACTCACCCATGTATAACGCAGCTCAGTTGTACTTCCTAATGGAGTAGCTTGTTGTTCTGTCTTTTCATGCTGTTTAATGTGTTGTGTAATGTGTGTAATGCTTTGTGTACTGTGTAATGATGTGCAGAGGGAGATGAGCTGGTGGTGCCAGAGACATCTGACAACAGTCGCAAACAGATGGTGCGCAGTACGGCGAGCAAACGCCGCTTTTCTTTCCGCATACCGGAGGAGGAGAGAGTTCTGCAGAGGAGGTGATGCTCAAACCTCACAACTACAACCATAATGAGCTTTTCACTTCTAATATTGTACATTTGAGCCATATTAAACACTGAGAAAATGCTATTCGTTTCATATCTGGAATGGATCCTTAATTATTGTATTTAGTTCATACATTTATTCTAGGTTTGATGATTTCAAAACCTGGTTAGATATTGTTATTTGCATATATTCGTGAGGTCATATTTATGATGGCTGTTTTAAATTTTGACAACTTTCTGCAACCCAAACAGCATGTGAACACTTTTGTGAAAAACATTTGAATATTGGGTCACACTTTACAATAAGGTTTCAGTAGTTAATGTAAGTTAATGTTGTGCCACAGCTATGTCACCCTGCAGCCCAAGACCGATTACTCACTGAAGCTTAGCAGGCCTGAGCCTGGTCAGTACCTGGATGGGAGACCACATGGAAAAACTAGGTTGCTGTTGTAGGTGGTGTTAGAGCGGCCGACAGGGGCGCTCAACCTGTGCTTTGTGTGAGTTCAAATGCCCCAGTAAAGTAAAGGGGACACTGTACTGTCAGTGAGCACTGTTTTTCGAGTGAGACGTTAAACTGAGGTCCTGACTTTCTGTGGTCATTAAAATGCTGAGTAGTCCTGGACAAAATCCCTCCATTGGCCCTTACCGATCATGGCTTTCACTGTCTCTCCACTCTACAGAAAGTGCTGATGTGTGGTGAGTGCACTAATGCCGTTTTCCTGTGGCTGCCATTGCATCATCCAAGTGGATGCTGCACGGTGGTGTGGAGAGACCCCCCAACATGAACTAAGAATGTGCAAATAATGTTAACAAATATGAACATAAGCAGTTATAAATGTATTGTTTATTATTTGATAATGTTAGTAAATGCATTAACTAGCATGAAATGATAACATTGTAAAGTGTTACAAAATATTTAAGGAAGTAAAAAAGTTGTTAGATTTGTTGTTCGAGAATCCAGAATTAAAGGTTAGTTCATCCCAAATTGTCATCATTTACTTAATTATCATGCTAATCTCAGCTCATAAGACTTGTGTTTATCTTCAGAACACTTGGAGGCTTTAATAAAATATAACTGTGTCCATAATCGGATACCACTCGTGTGTGTACTTGATTTTAGTTTGGAATTTACTTCACCACCATTAGAAGAGTGCTTCACTCTCATTCATAAATTCTCTTGTTGCCTTATGGGATAGTAAAGTGTAAATTAGATGCATACTTTAGAATCTCGCCAGAAGTAGTTGATCTTCCGGGTACCTTTAGAATGTGGTTCTTTGAATACTATGGATTCAGAAATACTACTTGGCTCACACTATATTGTAGGGAAATATGTGATTTTGGATGCACTGTATGAATTCTTTCCCTACATTGAAAGTCTATTCACCAAAAACTCTGCTTCTGAATGTCCATAACTCAGGGCTTGCAAAATTTCCAAATCCCTGATAGCCTTTCTGGCTGGCACTCCTCAGTTTTTGGTAGCACGAAATCAATTCAAGTAGCCAGAATTGAAAAGATATTATTTACTAATTAAAAAGAAATGCATACATTTGCTAAATAAAAAAAAAAAAATTCATCTATTATTGGCTGCATATATGTATATTTTTGATTATAACCACATTTTATTTACTTTTTAAAATTTATTTTATTATTTTGCTATTAATAATATAAACATTATTATACAACAAAATGTATCTCTAAAAGGTTTTGAACAAGTAAACGGTGAGTAAATGGTGCTAGAATTGTCATTATCGGGTGAACTATCCCTTTAGAACAACATGAGGGTTAGTATGTTAAATCAGTTTGGACAATTGTTATTTTAATGATATGCGAAAATTAAAATGACCTTCGTCTTTTGGCTTAAAACTTTTATGAGTTTCTTTTTTCTGTTGAACACCAAAGAAAATATTTCAAAAATCCTGATTGATGAAATCTATTCACTTCCATTATATTATTTTTTATTACAACAACTATGGAAGTCCACAGGTTCCAGCATTCTTCAAAATATCTTCTTGAACACAAAGGCCCCCATCGACTTCCTTAGTAGGAAATGAAATGCTATGGATGCCAATGGGTACCAGCATATTAAAAAGATTTCTATATATTAACAGAAGATATCTCTCAAATATTTTTTGAACTAGTGAACAGTGAGCAAATGATGATAGAATTGTCATTTTTATTCAACTATCTCTTTAAAGATTTAGAACAACAGGGGGATGAGTATGTGATGACAACATTTTCAAACCCTTAAAGCACAGTGAAAAAAAGCCTTTAATTGTAATCTAATTTTGATGTTTGCAGTATTTTAGTGTTGAGACTATTATTATGTGTTCTGGGTCTCATTGCATTGTTTTTGTGCTCTTCAGGGAGATGCTGAGAGACCCAGAAATAAGGAATAAGTTGATTTCAAACCCAACTAACTTCAACCATGTGGTTCATATGGGTCCGGGAGATGGGATCCAGATCCTGAAAGAACTGCCAATGGTAGGAGCAGCAAACAGCAGGGAGAACGTCACCTCTCATTTTCTTCTCCTGCTTCTCTACGCCTCCAGCCATCTGTTTCTAGGAGCTGTTTTTAATGAGCATGAGCCATCTTTTCTTCATTATTTTTATTGCTGTAATTTCAGTTTTATAGATGAGCTGGGTTAAAAGACAACATCAAGCCACTTTTGACTTTCATGGTATCTTTCAGAATACCTCAAATATTTAAGATAAACATAAATGAGTCACAGTACACCCCTCACAGATCTCTCTTTTAAATTCATATTGTTTATAAGATGCTTTACAATAATTAGTTTATGCATGTTCAACACCTGACAAAAGTATTGTCGTCGATCCCAGTCATAAGAGCAACAAAAAATAACTTAGTAGTGATAGTTAAATGATAGTTTATCATTTGGGAAAGTGGCAGCAGGTTGATTTGTCTGATGAATCATCTGTTAAACTGCATCCCAATCATCACAAATACTGCAAAAGACATACTGGAACCCACATGGACCAAAAATTCTCAAAGAAAGCAGTCAAGTTTGGTGAAGGAAAAATCATGGTTTGGGGTGATATTCAGTATGGGGTGTGCGAGAGATCTGCAAAGTGGATGGCAACATCAACAGCCTGAGGTATCAAGACATTTGTGCTGCCTATTACATTACAAACCACAGCAGAGGGCAAATTCTCCAGCAGGATAGCGCTCCTTCTCATACTTCAGCCTCCACATCAAAGTTCCTGAAAGCAAAGAAGGTCAAGGTGCTCCAGGCTTGGCCAGTCCAGTCACCATACTTGAGCATGTCTGGGGTAAGATGGAGGAGGAGGCACTGAAGATAAATCCAAGAAATCTTGCAAGCAAGCTTTCTTTGCCATTCCAGATGACTTTATTAATAAGTGGTTTGAGTCATTGCAGAGATGTATGGATGCAGTCCTCTAAGCTCATGGGAGTCAGACACAATATTAACTCTTTCTCCACTGCAGCATGACTTTATATTCTATACTGTACATTATTTCTGTTAAGTAAGAGGACTTTTGTCTAAACAAAGTCAGACCTTACAGTCCTAATTAAATAAGAAAAAAATCAAGGCATGATCATATTTTTTTTTTGGTAAAATAAGTGTAATCTAGAGGCCTTTGCCTTTCATATAAGCCCTTCTGATACCAAATGATCGTCTAAAAGACAAGTTATTATTTGTCATTCCTAAAATTTGGATAGGCAACAAGACTTTTGTCAGGTAGTGTAAATTAGATTAGTCAGCACCAAAGCAAAACTGGAACTAATCTAACAAAAAACTTAAGATCAGAGTACAAAAAATAACACACACAAATTAACAAATTTGAATACAAATTTAATAAACATAAAGATTTATCTATTTTATTGAAATTTTGTAGTTTTTTTTTTTTGCAGTAACTCGTTTGATTTTAAATGTTTTGTCTTTCTATTCCTAAAAACATTTGGTAAGCAAACTCTTATTATAACGAATATACCTGTTTATTAAAACTGTTTTGTTTATATGCACCAAAAATTTTTGCCTATATCTATTGAGAAATGGACAGTAATATTCATTTACGAAAGGGGTGTACTCATTTATGCTGAGAGCTCCGTTTTATTTTTTATGTTTACAGCATAAGATTTTATGTAGTTAAGTAACACTAATAGTGCTGTTTTTTCTGAATACAATACAAGTATGATCTATAATGCGATATTGATTATATGAAATTTCAACAAACAGGAAGTAAATATTGAATTATATATTTTAGATACATTATTGCCTTTTTTTGAAAAAAAAAATCATTTATTAAAACAATTTCTTTGTTCAAATCGGTCAAGAAGAAATTACTTGAATAATTCAGTGAATCAGTTTTTTTCATATTTATTTCATACAAACTTAAACCAGCTCAAGATATAAGCACAAAAACACACTCAGCAAAATGTAAATAGTTTTTAATCTGAGAAATCCCCCCAAAAAATCAAGTGTTTGCATGTCCTGTTGATTACACTAAACTTGTTTAAACTTCCACAAACAAAAGTATTTGACCAATGCATTCAGATTGCTACGTATGGTTACACATGACATTGCTTATATTAATGGGCTGTTAGTCTTATTACAAAAGCACAATCCTCAATCTATGTAAACACAGCTATTTATGAAGCAAATAAGGCCAATATTAGTTTCATATTATCTTTTCAATGACTTCAGCTCTTCATGTTCACTTTTTACATGCATCTATATTTTTAATTTCTCCTCCTCTCTTGGGGTTATAACCCTTATAACAAACGCATAATCATTAGTCCATATAAACTCAGCTATTTTTAAAGTAAATAAGGCCAGTTTTGGTTTCATATTGTCTTTTTAATGACTTGACAATGGCTCTTCATGTTCACTTTTCAAAACATTCCAGCACAGTAAACTTTTGCATGCATCTATATTTTTCATTTCTCCCCTGCTATTAGGTTTATAACTCTTATTACAAATCCCTAATCATGAATCCATGTAAACTCAGCTATTTATGAAGTAAACAAGGCCAATTTTGGTTTCATATTGTTTTTTAAATGACTTCAGCTCCTTATGTTCACTTTTCATAGCACAGTAAAGTTTTGCATGCATCTATACTTTTCATTTCTCCTCCTCTATTGGGTTTATAACTCTTTTTTACAAATGCATAATCATTAGTCCATATAAACTCAGCTATTTAAAGTCCAATTTTGCTTTCATATCGTCTTTTTAATGACTTCAGCTCTTCATGTTCACTTTTCATAGCATTATTGCACCGTAAACTTTTGCATGCGTCTATATTTTTTCATTTCTCCTCTTCTTTTGGGTTTTTCTGGCTGTAGCCCGGTTCTCCTCTTCCCTCTCCTCGTCTGCACCTCATCTCTACCCCTACCAGCTTTGAGCATGTCTATCACATGACCATCACCTCTGCGGACAACTTCCTGTCCCAGGACTCCTCCCCCATCTCCTCCCACTCCCTGTCCCTCAGCTCCGCCCCCGGGACCCCTGCCTCCATCTGCTCTCTGGTAGGACCAGAGAGAGACGCACAGAAACACTCGATCTGCTCCCTCTGAAGAGAATCCGTTTATGCCCACATGCATTAGCTCACTTTCACACCGCAGACCATCTCGCTGCATCACAGTTCAATTATGCCCGACTTACAATCTGTCTTTTCTCTGCATGCTGTATCATCTCTACAATTATTTATTTCATTTTAGATTTAAGCATTAAAATTATATTTAAACGCTCGAAGAACAAGTTAACAAGGCATTTTAGGTAGTGTTGCTTGACTTTTTTTCATTTGTGATTTGTGTGTGCAGTTAAAATCAAAATGAATAGCCCTCCTGCTAAATGTATATATTTCCCAAGTGCTGTTTAACAGAGATTCAACACATTTCTAAACATAATAGTTTTAGTTAGGGATGCTCCAATCGATCTGCGGTGATAAGTATCGGCCGATAATCCCATTTAATGACTCGATTGGTACTTGCTGATCTGGCTGATCTCATGAAGCGATCGCAAGTGTTTGTTTGAGTTTACAAGCAGAGGAAGATGCACGTGCACACCGAGTTATACATAAAGCAGCTACAACACATGAGGAGGTAAATAATAGCAGCTAAAATACATACAGATGCGGTGCGACCTTCGTTTTTACGGTTTGTTGGCGGACTTGGAGGTCGGTATCGGCCGATAATCCCATTTAATGACTCTACCAGTACTTGCTAATTTGGCCGATCTCATGAAGCGATCGCAAGTGTTTGAGTTTACAAGCAGAGGAAGATGCACATGCACACCGAGTTATACATAAAGCAGCTACAACATGTGAGGAGGTAAATGATAGCAGCTAAAATACATACAGATGCGGTGCGACCTTCGTTTTTACGGTTTGTTGGCGGACTTGGAGGTCGGTATCGGCCGATAATCCCATTTAATGACTCTACCAGTACTTGCTAATTTGGCCGATCTCATGAAGCGATCGCAAGTGTTTGAGTTTACAAGCAGAGGAAGATGCACGTGCACACCGAGTTATACATAAAGCAGCTACAACACGTGA